CCCCAAAACCCCAAAACCCCAAAACCCCATGATGATAAATTTTCAATCAAAAGAGTAATCATAATATTATAATTAAACTTTAATACATTTAAGAATTTCATTAACTCTCATTCAGCAATTGAGAATTTAAGTGACTTTTCTATTGAGTTCGAGTATAATTATTGATATATTGGTACATATCCTTCGCTTTTTAGGGACTCTTTTAAATCACTTTCAAGATTTGTTCTCTAATTCTCAATCTTCTTTCATCTTGATTGAGATTTTCTGTGTTTTAGACAAGGGTATTTACTTTTATGTTTTGATCTGTGGTAGTTTAAAGATTTTTTTAGGTCAGAGTGTTGAAATTAGTTTAGTTTCTAATACTCTTTGTGCTAGGTATAACCACACTGCCTCTTTTCATCATCAATGGATGAGGCCTAAAATTGTTAGTTTAGTCTGCTATCACGATTTCATAAGGCTTTATATTTTTACTAATGGTTTCACCAGCTAATTTTTTATTCTGCATTTCAACATATGTAAACGGATTATCAACACTCATAGATTCAATTTTACGCTTTATTTGCATTACATTCGATTGATCATAATTATTGTTATATCGATCCACAAAGATTTAGCTCTGGTCTAAAATAAGTTTTAAAATCCTAAAAATTTTACTTTGAAGTTGTCTTCTTTTAAACATTGAATCATGACTGAATTACTTCGATGGGTCTAAAGTGGGATCATCATAGTTGAGATTCGCCTCAAATGTTTAATTCATATGCTTATTGCTATTGAAGAACTTCTTATAGAGTTTAGACTATGTCCATTTCATATCTTCCTGGTCATGAAATACTTTTATTGATGCTCCATATACTGGCCTTTTAAGATTATTTGATGATCTTTTCAACCCACATGAGGTGTTAGCTCTGTCCATATACTCACCTTATAAGTTGCTCATTCCTGAATCAAAATTGAGGTGCTTGCCATTTCTACTCCCTTCAATAGCCAAATCCATTGTTATCTCCTTAGGCTGATTCATATGTTTAAGTCTTTGCTGCAAAATTAGCCTTTACTTTCCACTTTAATTTTATACTGAATTCGCCCTGGACATCAGTACCTTTTAAAATGGTTCATTCGAAATTGATTCTCTTGAATTTAAGTTGTTGGTATTCGTTACAATAGTTTAATTATTACTGTTCATGTTTTCATTTATAGTTTATATAGACTGCCTGACATTTGTTCTTGTTTAAGATGGTAAGTGTAATGAATCGAATTTGCTTTCATAGAGTGCCCTATGATTTTGAATACTACTAAATATAGGATCGAATTTATTCAAAGCGGAGGCAATCTAATCTCTTTATTGAAGCTATTGACCACTGAAAATTGTTAAAAAACACTATAAAATTTTTATTACTTTAGAAGATTTCTTCGTTTGTTAATATTCTTCTCTCTTTTAATGCTATCCATCCAAGCCAGATGCTGTGTATTAATAGAAACTTTTTCTGCCTTGCTCGTATTTGTTCTGGCCTTAGACATTTTATTTTTACAAGAATTAATATCCCATTTTATGATTGCTGCTTTATTTAGTTTACTTGGGGTTTTGGGGTTTTGGGGGGAATGATTCATATTTATCTTCC